TAACACTTTTTCATCGCTCAGCATCCCAATGAAACCATTTGTTTCTCTAATCAAGTGGATATGATCATACATTTTCATACTTCTTTTCTGTGTATTTTCAAAGAAAAGCACTTCAATGCATTCTAAATTTAATCATGTCTTTTAATATTTTCTCAAGTTTCTCAAAAAGGGAAAATCAAGTCTTCTAATTTTTTTTAGGTTGCTGGGACCATGAAAAAGTGTTAAAACTGAAAGATGTAGGTAAACATAACTTCTTGAACAAAAGGAAACATTTGACACATTGCTATGCAATTGTTAATTACTTATTCATACCATAGTTATGTTGGTATTATTTTGAGGTGGGTTGATCCAACCCGTTTCTTTTTTTTAAAAAAATCTAATTAACCTCTAAAATGTTTGCAGTCAAGTGCTTCCAAAATCGAAAGAAAAATAAGAAATAGCTCCAGCCAGATTGCTGTGGACCTGTTCTTCGCTGCTGTTATATTGAATCTGAGGGTTTTTTCGATTTTAAATTTAAATGATTGATTGTAAGCCACCAACTGTATAAGAATAACTCATTAAGAAAAGTCTTAGGTTCTATGACAGCAAAGGTGAAAGCAATGTCCTTTTCGGATGTTGAAATAACACCCCCCACCAGTTAATTAAGGAAGAGAGCAGGGGAAGAGAGGCATAAATCCAGGCCTGAACCCTGGCAGCCTCTACTCACCCTCAGAACTGCTGCTGCTGCTCCTCCCCACAATCGATCCAGCTAAGACGTCCTCAGCCAAGTGGGAGAAGCCCCACTCTACAGGCATGTTGTTGGGGAGGGGCGAAAACCTGAACGAAAGAAAGAGAGAAAGAGAGACAGAATGAAAGCTTAAAGAGCTGATCACTCGCCAATCTGAACACTGGATGACTAAGAATGGCATATGCTAAATTCTCTATCTTATGCTAACTAAACTAAATTTATATATTAAACTAGTCCTATCAAGAAACTTATATTGCAGCTTTTTGTATCAACTGGCCTTACATTAAAGCTTCGATTGCAAGTAGTGTTATCAATTTATAAAGAGAACACTGAACTCAGAATTAAAAAAAACACCTTCATTTCATTTATAAAAGTGGCAATAATTAACATTTATGAATTTTAAACAATCTTTAAAAAAAATAATCCTACCTATTAGGAACAATGAAAGAATGCTATGGAAAATATGTGCTTTCAGTAATATATACGCTTTATTGATATTATCTGCTCCCACACATCTAAAAACACAGTCTATACATAATAGCAATGACACAATCTAAAACATTGTTTTAGTTTTATCTCATTGCTCTTAAGGATTTTTACCTCCAAGAATTGGACCCTTAAAAGTATATATGGAAGGTGTTCAATATTTTCCAGTTAATAAAGCTGATTCACAAATGTGATGAGACTGTACATGACTTAATCAAGTACATCACGCAAACACTAATTCCCTCAACCACAAGGAATGACTAGATCAGAACAAGTAACTGCAGAGTGTTATGCACACATACAAACAAGAGTTAAATAATTCTTTTAGCAATTATATTGACTATGTTTCTTAAATTAAAGTATTAGGATGCTTGTAATTTTAGATACAATTTCCAGAAAAATACTGTAAACTCCCAGAGAGATGATAAATTTAACATAATCAGCCCCAGGTAGAAAGCTACAGTGAAAATATCAGTCAAAAAATATTTTGTTTACCAAAAGGTTGATTTCTAGTTTTTTTCTTTTATGAATCTATGCTATGTTATTCAAACCAAGAATATTTTCAATGTTTATCCTTTTTACAAAGGTTATGGTTTCTGTGCCCATCAGAAATTGCTCTAATACATTTACTTCCTAATTTTACCAACCTAAGTTACCAACAAAAATTGTCTTCTGAATTATAAAAAAGTGAACTGAATACAGAAATAGAATTGATCAGAATAAGATCAATTCAATAAAGAGTTGATCTCATGAGAGTTTAGATAGGATTCTTAGTATCAGAAAAGACACAGCAAGTTTCTAAATCTAAAACTTCTACTCCATGATTATTTTAGTAAATCAATAATAAGAATTTCCCATAAATAATCAAAGTAGTTTTGAAGCCAAAACTAGTATTGTTTCTTTATTTTGCTATAAAGATCCAGAATTATCTATCTTACCAAAAAATACTAAAAATGTAATGAATACCAAGTATTCTTCCAGTTATAACTTTAAAAAATGCAGTGCTGTAGGTTAAAGCATTCAGCCCTACACACTTGTGGCTTCAAAGTCTTTCTAGAGACGACAGCTGAGAAGTAGTTTTTTCTTCTGACTTAAACATTGATTTGGGCCTTTATTCTACCATTCTTTTTTATTTCTTTTAATTTGGAAGATACGATAAATATTGGCCAATATTATTATATTATTTGCTATATAAAAATAGCAAAATGATATTAAATTTAATATCAATACCCTTAATTTAAAATCTATGTGTAATATCTATCCACAACATAGAATTTTATAATGCATGTCTGACAATGCGATATAGTTATCGGATATAATGGGATACAGTTTTGAAAGCATCCATATTTAAGCCACTTTACCAATGTGCACATTAATATGTTTCTTCTTTGAATAAACACCATGTTTTCTACATTATGCTCAGTGCATCTCAAAGTTGCATAAATGCATTAACACTGCATGTCAGTGGTTGCCATTGAAACTGTAGCTGCTTTCTTTGGTTTCACCAGTTTGACGCTGGAAAACTCTTAAGGTATCCTCTCTAGGTTCAAAATATACAGTATATACAGTATAAAAATCCTAGGTGTCAACAGCCTTGTTTGCCATCTATCCAGAAAAAAGGGCAAACAAAAACATGGGTAAATTGAGAAAAATTAGGGTTATGTCTCCCACCCTAGGCAAGTGGTTATTTTGCAAATAAATAAATAAACAAACAAATAAATCACACAACACTTAAAATGTGCTACTTGCCCCAAAAGAAGCCTGAAAATTAATTATTCACCTAAAAGTGTTCAATGTTAAAGAAAACAATACAGTCCACTTTAAAGTAATCATAACTTTCTACAACATTTCATGGCTATACAATTATCTTTGGCAATTTTAAAGCCCTACAAAATTCTGCTTTTCTTGCAGTAATAGAGTAATAGAGCTGACTCAATAGGAATTTAAATTAGACAATGCCACAAATGTAAATTATCAATAGTTTGAAGGTGTATTTCTGATTTAACATGGTGCATAAAAACCTTTTACTAATTGATGTTCTTCAAATGTGTTGGATTACAATTGCCTGAATTACATACAAGCATGGCCATTGGCCATAATGATCCACAACTTTAGCTGTAATCCAATATGGTTGAAGGACAGCAGGGTGTAGAAAGGTTCCTCACTACATAAATGTTTGGATTACT